ACACACACACACACACACACACACACACACACACACACGCACACACACACACACACACACACACACACACACACACACACACATGTGCGGCTGTGATAAGAGCGGTGAGAGACTCGCGGTTTAAGTTAAAACATACACGGGCACGAATGTGCGACACTTATCAAAACTTGTTTAATCACGCTAACTAACTAACCGAAGTTGATTAAGTAGCGTGTCTCGGAATATCGACAAGAAAATTCCTATGCATAGTTCGAATACGTATTAATGCTGAATTGGCCGTCACAGAGGCGTTTGATGTACTATCGGTGATGCGAAGAGACTATAGAGAACAATCGGTGAGAGAGTGCTGCATTGTTAGAGCTTTATCAGGCGATGCTTGCCGGCATGTTATTGTGATTTTTATTACATGCGAATGAAACCATAGATGAGTGAAATTACACTGAATATTTAGAAGCCTTGCGATTTGCTCTTATAACGCATACGCTCACGTGCGCACGCACACACGCACGCACGCACACACACACACGCACGCACGCACACGCACGCACACGCACGCCCGCACGCATGCACGCGCACACATATTCCGTCTTGCTATCGCTGGTCATTTGGTTGAATCGTTCTGCTCGCCGTTGTCGGTGCCTCACTTATTTCACACTTATTTCAGCACGTATATCTCACGTATTTCACGTATTCCGTTATTCACACGGCGTGAAATCGACAGGTGCGCCCAAATCGATTTGCGATAACACGCATGACGTTATGCGACCGCCGGATAAAATGCGTGAGCTCCGCAAACTATTACTGACTTTAACGGATTTGCGTTGACAAACACTCTCGCCTGCACAACGCGTTTATTAAATTTCCAAGCGTTACGCATGAGGTTTTATAAACGAAATTCTGATCTCGGGCAAAGAGTAAAGAGCGCGTCGTTTTGCGAAGCAACGGCATTAACTAACTCTTTCGCAATGGCAAGCGTGTAATCCTCATGTCACTCACATATTATTCCTTCGTCATCCACAATGCTGCGTGCTTGGGCGACCTGTACGCAAGGAACATGCAGCGTGACTAACTTCGGGCAACGCGTGTCTTTATTTGATTATGGTCTGGGTCACGCATACTCGATGAAAGAGTTTCATCAAATTACTATTGTATTGTCATCCAAGATACACTGACACAAAGCATTTTTATACTTTTAGAATGTTAGAATTTATAAATATTAGACAATGACAGGTATAATATCATCGTGAATTTACGTCAACAAACGCTATGCTACATAAATTATGAACGCGGAAGGATAACTCCATGCGAATTTCGTGCGATCATCATTCCGCAAGCGATCATTCACATTCGTCCATGCGATAATGTGATGCGGAAGACCATGAGACCTTTTCGCACGACCGCAGGGACACAATTACACAACGATCCTTACTGTCTGTCTGTTAGCGGTAAAATCCGGTTGCAGCGAAAATATCAAACATGTTTTGATCGCTGCGAAATTTCGGTGCGGATGAATTTCGGCGAATATGATTCGCCCGCGCGTTGGGAGCGCACACACCAATGCGAATTCGCGGCGGCCTTTTAAATCCGCTGGCATATCGTGCGAATAAATTCGCTGGTGTGTCTCCATGGTGTGTCCGCTATGTGTGTCCATCTCGAATGGCGTTCCTCACAATGAAGAACTAAGATTGATTGTTTGCACGCGCCCTTCCCGTAACTAAGATTAAACCATGGGCTCGGCGCCGTTTCTCGTTTCGTTTGCAGATTTGACGAGTTGCAGCGCGAGAAGTCAACATTTTGCGACAACAGTGCGTCAAGCACGCAGGCAACTACACAGACTGCTCCTGCTATGAAGGCTACCGATTGCTAGACCAGTTACAGATGTGAAGGTACGCAGGTCTGTGTGTGCATGTGTTGCGCGCGTGACTTGTGTGTGTGTGTGTTGTGTGTGTGTGCGCTGCGCGCGTCTGCGTGTGTGCGCGCGGTCACGTGTGTGTGTGTTGTGTGTGTGTGTGTGGTGTGTGGTGTGTGTGTGTGTGTGGTGTGTGTGCGTCACGTT